GCTCAGTTCACGATTCCAGGGTCCTGGGATGAAGCCCTGCATTGGGGTCCCTGCTCAGCAGGAAGCCTGCTTCTCCCTCTCCCTCTGCCCCTGCTTATGTTCCCTCTCTCACTGTGTCTCTCTCTGTCAAATAAATAAATAAATAAATAAATAAATAAATAAATAAAATCTTTTTTAAAATAAGGGGAAAAAGCAATTGATATAAAATGTTCTTGAGAAAGACCAGATGTTGGACTTACTAGACAAGCACTTTAAGTCAACTATTTTAATTCATTTTTTTTAATTTACTTGTTTGAGAGGGAGAATGAGGGGCGGGGGGAGTGCATGCACAAGCCAGGAAGAGGCAGCAGGAGGGAGAAGCAGACTCCTTCCCCAGCCCCCGAGCAGGGAGCCCAATGTGGGGCTCAACCCCAGGACCTTAGTACCATGACCCAAGCTGAAGGCAGATGCTTAACCGTCTGAGCCACCCAGGTGCCTCTAAGTCAGCTATTTTAAATATGTTCAATGACCTAAAGGAAACCGCATCAAAACAACTAAAGTATGAGAACAACAGCTCACCAAATAGATACTATTAGTAAAGAGATAACAATTGAAAAATGAGCCAAATGGGGTGCCTGGGTGGCTCAGTCAGTTAAGCATCTTCCTTTGGCTCAGGTTGTGATCCTAGGGTCTTCAGATCAGGCCCCACATCAGGCTCCCTGCTCAGCAGGAAGCCTGCTTCTCCCTCTCCCTCTGCCTCCCCCCAACCCTTGTGCTCTGTCTCGCATGTTATCTCTCTCTCGAATAATAAAATCTTGTTTAAAAAGGTTTTTTTTAGGGGTGCATGGGTGGCTCAGTGGGTTAAAGCCTCTGCTTTCGGCTTGGGTCGTGATCCCAGGGTCCTAGGATGGAGCCCTGCATTGGGCTCCCTGCTCAGCGGGGAGCCTGCTTCCCCCTCTCTCTCTGCCTGCCTCTCTGCCTACTTGTGATCTCTGTCTGTCAAATAAATAAATAAAATCTTTTAAAAAAAAAGATTTTTAAAAATCTTTTTTAAAATCTTTTAAATCAGTGGGTTGAGCCTCTGCCTTCAGCTCAGGTCATGATCTCGGGGTACTGGGATAGAGCCCCACATCAGGCTCTCTGCTTAGTGGGGAGCCTGCTTGCCCCTCCCCCCTGCCTGCCTCTCTGCCTACTTGTGATCTCTCTCTCTGTCAAATAAATGAATGAAATCTTTTTTAAAAAATAAAAATGAGCCAGAGGTGCCTGGGTGGCTCAGTGGGTTAAAGCCTCTGCCTTCGGCTCAGGTCATGATCCCAGAGTCCTGGGATCAAGCCCTACATCGGGCTCTCTGCTCCGCGGAGAGCCTGCTTCCTCTTCTCTGTCTGCCTGCCTCTCTCTCTCCCTCTCTCTGTCAAAAAAATAAAATCTTAAAAAAAATAATAAATAAAATAAAAATGAGCCAAATAGAGAGTAAATAGAAATACTTTTCTGTTGAGGAGTACAGTAACTGAAATGAGAAATTTACTAGAAGCCCAATAGCAGTCTGAATTAGGCAGAATAAAGAATCAGTGAACTTGAATATAGGTCAATGGAGATTAGTCAGTCTGGGGGATAGCAAGTAAATAGAAAAAAGAAAAACGAACAGAGTCTCTGAGGTGTGTGGGTCATCATCAAACACATCAATATACGCATAATGGGAAAATCTGAAAGAGAGGAGAGTAGGAAAGAGGCAGAAAGAATATTTGAAGAAATAACAGCTGAAAACTCCCCACCTTGGTGAAAAAACATTAATCTACACATCCAGGAAGATCAGCAAACTCCAAGTAGTATAAACGTATACAGATCCATACTGAAATACATCATAATCAAACTGGCAAAAGACAAAGACAGAATTCTAAAAGCAACAAGGGAAAAGTGACTCATCACATACCAGGGATACTCAATAAGATTAAAAGCTCTCTTTTCATCAGAAAACATGGGGGCAAGAAGGCGAGGGGATGACATATCCAAAGTAGTGAAAGGTGGGGGGGAACCCCATCAACCAAGAATTTAATACCCAGGAGTACTATCCATCAAAAATGAAGGAAAAATAAAGATACTCCCAGAGAAGTAAAACCAGAATTCTTTGCTAACAGTCCTGCCCTACAAGAAATGCTAAAGAGAGTGCTCTAGGCTGAAATGAAATAACACTAAATGGCAACTGGAATGAAGCCATAAGTGGTACCAGTAAAGGTAATTATGTAGATAATTACAAAAGACAATATATTTTTGGTTTGTAACCCCTTTCTGTTTATCATTTCAAAGAACAAACTTCTGGCTCACTTTCTTGATGTAGTGTGAAAGCATGCTATAGTGCCCCAAGTTGGCAGGGCTGTGCCCCAAGTTGGCACTCAAAAAAATTTTTGTGTAATGAGTGAATTAGACCATCATTGCACTCCTTCTAGATCACCCCCCACCCCTGTTCCTACCCGGTTATCCTGGATCAGGCTAACATGCTGGGCTTTGTTCCCAGGACCCTTTGTAGGTGTTTGGGGGTGGGGGGAGGCTGATGACATTTAGAATCACAGATAAGGGGTGAAGGTGGGAAAGGGAGAGAAGCAACCCCGAATGAGCCAACAGGCAAAATAAGCATATGAACCCCACAGGGCAAGCAACATGGTGTGGGACACTACAGAGGACAGAGAACCCTACAGGACAGCTTTGGAATGGTTGTTTTAGGCTGGGTGCTGCTTCTGATTGAGCGATAAACAGATTTCTGCAGCAAATCTTCCTTTCTCGTTTTGCACCCCAACATTATGCAGGGAACACAAGTGTATCAGCAAAAACACTGATCCCAGAAGATGGTCATTGATTCTGTCAAAAAACTTTAAAAATATTTTCTTTACATGTGTGGATACCCAACCCCCCAGCCCATCCAATCCCTGACATTCAGGAATATTCTCTTGAAAACTAAACACAGAGGAAACAGAAGAAGTAATATAGAGGATGGACCCACTTCGTATAAGTCAAAGGTTGGTTTTTGGAGACCTGAATATAGCACATTGGGCTTATTTTCACAGTTTACTTTCAGACAGCCCTGATGGGTTCTGGGCTGCCTTGACCCCTGTGGGTCAAAGGCAGTTGGAGACAGAGAGAGAAGGGGCAGTACTGCTGGGGCAATGGGACCTTAGAAAGTTAATTCAGAGCAGACACCAAGCACTAAATGGAAGATGGCCATAGGACAAGAGCAACAAACAGAAATTAGTAGATAGGGGGTAAAAAAATCTCTGTTGAAATTCAGAAATGCTTAAAAAATAGAAAAAGAAAGAGGAAGGAAGGGAGGGAGTGGAGGAGAGGAAAGGAGAGGAAAAAGACAACACAGAACAAAAAAATTCTGTAACTAAATTCCTGAAATCCTGTATATCTGTATTTAAGTGAAAGGTGCTAGGGGTGGAAGGTAGCCTATGCTGGAGACGGCACAGCTCTGGGAGGGGCCTGAGTCTGGGGTTTACATACCATGGGCAAGTCACTCAACCATGTCCAGATTCAGCTTTATGAATCCACAGAGAGGGCAAGAGAGGAAAAAAGAACACTTCCTTCCATGTGCCGAAGTCTGGCTCCCAGTTCACAGCCAGAAGCAGGCTGAGAAGTCTTGGCCTCCAGGGGAGGTCACCATGTAAACAGGAGGTGGGATAAAATACACACGAAACACGGCCACACCAGCCAGAACCCAATCTTTCATTAGTGGGAGGGAGAGAGAAGGGTAAGTGATGGAGGCTGAGGGAGCACTGGCTTTGGCATCAAGGGCAAACACATGATAGATTGAGGCAGAAAACCATAATTTCCACAGGCTTCCTGGGATGGGACCACTGCTGCCTGGTCCCTCCACTTGGACTGGCAAAAGCAAGGTTTTGCCCAGTCTCCAGGAGCGCAAACAGATTACATGGGCCCCGCTCTACTTCCTGTGACAGGAAAGTGGAGGGAGAAGCACAGTAGGATTTCCTGGATAATGAATGCTCAGGTGGCCAGCCTTCACCACACCCTCGCTTTCCAGGGGACTCCAACTTTCCTTTCTGCCTTCCAGTGGAACTCTTGGTCTGAGACGACAGTCTTCTGAGCTCCATTCCTGGAGCTCTGAGTGGGCTCTGCTAAATGAAAAGCGGAAAGGAAAAATAGATTTGAGGCTTGGCCAGACTTGGTGTGCACCATGACATCTGCAGTGTTGCCTTCTGAAAACATTCTTCAGTAAGAACTTAAATAATGTTTTCCAGGAGCTTGGGGCTGAAGCCATCTGGTTCCTTCCACAGCCCCAGGATGCAGGGGACTTCAGACCACTCGTGTCTGTCCTTCCCAGCGGGATTTCCCACCGACTTCAGCAAAGCATCCAAGGTTCTGATAACCTGGCCTTGGCCTTCGTTTTAAACGGAGTTCCTCCTTCAGGTTGGGGAGGGGAGAACGATCAATGAGGACAGGAGATTCTTGGTCCCCGTGCATGTGTGTTTTCATTCCCCACTAGCATGACTGAGAAGGACACTCGACCACTCGATGGAGAACTTGGTCTACGCTTAGGAAGCCCGTCTCCCGGCCGGGCCGGTGCTGCTCTCTGAACGCCGTGGAGGAAGGGGTCCCGGACGCGGGCTGCGAAGTAGGGCAGAGCTGGAGCGGGATCGCCACTCCGCCGCCCCTGGCCGGCGACGCGCGTCTCGGGCTCCCCAGCGGGGCTAGGGCACGGTCGGGGGCGGGGGGCGGCCCGTCAGGGGTGGGCTGGCGGCCGGGCGCGCGTGCGGGGCACTGGCCACGCGGCCTCGGCCGCCCTGGCCCGCGAGGCCCTCCGGATGCCCGCGCTCGTCCTCGGCGTCGCGCCCGGCCTCCTCGGGGAGCCGCGCGGGTTGGGCGCGCTCCCAGGCGCATTCCTGGCCGGGCAGCCCCTCCTCCTCGGCCTCGGCCCGGGGGCTGGCGCCTCCCCGCCTCGCCGGGGCTGTCTCGTGCGGGCGGCTGCGGACGCTCGTGGCCCGCGCACAGCGCACCTGGACCCTAGACGGCGCCCGCCGCGCTCCGGGGCTCCCGCCGCCCTCCCTGCGCCAGCCGCTGCCGGGCCGCGGCGTGGGCCGGCCCGAGGCGGTGTCTCCCCTTCCCCAGCCGCGCGGTTCCCACCGGCAAGATGGTGCCCAGCTGTCCCCGCGCGCTCCTGCTGCCGCTGCTGCTGCTCCTCGCCTGCCCCGCGTCGCGGGCTTCCCAGGTCAGTGCCCTCCCGCCTCTCGCCCGTCCGGCTCTCCGGGGAGGCAACGCCAAGGACTTGGGCTCGTGGCTCGGCTCTTGGAGGCTTGGGCAGGGGGCGCGGAGCGGCTCTTGGGACCCCCCGCCTGTCACCTGAGCTGCATCGAGGGCCGGGCGCCTGGGAAGACCCGGGCTGGTCCAGCGGCGCCGTCTGGGCGACAGCCTCGGTCCGCGGGGGACAGGGCTCCGCGTGACGATCGTGGGTTGGAGGAAGGTGTCCCTGGGATATATGAGACGCCAGGCTTTGGTGGGGCTCCCCCCTGGAGCTCCTGGTCGCCCCGTGAGGGTGGAGACTGTCCCCGCCCTCCAGCTCCCAACATTCAAATTTCTAACTGAAATCTCTTTCCCACCGCCGCCGATTTTAAGCGCGCGCGGAGTCGGCGAGCGGCGTTTGCGCTGAGCAGGCAGAGGCGGGCCGGGAGGTCTCTGAAGCCGTCGCATCGCGCGCTTAGGGGGCCTTAGATTTGGGACTGCATTTTCTTTCCCACCCTGACAGACAGCTTGCCGTTTCGTTTTTCTCTCCCTGCCGTTTGTGTTTGTTGGAGTCTCACTGGGTTTATTTATTGGACCAGATTCACTTTTTATACTAACCAGTAAGAACCGATGGTTAAAATTGAGGTAAGAATGCAGATAAAAATACATCTTCCCATAGGTGGAAGGTGGAACTGGAATTGCTGAATTCTGAGCCAGCAACCGCCAGACTGGCCCTGGCGGCGGGAGACCCCTCCCCTGTGGTGCGCTTGGCCCGTGGGCAGAGCGGCGGTCCCCCCAGCATCACCAGCCTAAGCGGTACCAGTGGTGGAGGCAGAAGGAAAGCCTGCATTGACTCACTGAAAGCCCCATGAGTGCCCGGTTCTTGATTAAGCATCGTCCACGCCCTTAAATCTCAGAGCAGCCCTGTGAGGTGGGGAGCACTGTCATCCCCATTTTGCAAAGGAGAGAACGGAGGCCCAAGGGGATTGTGACTTACTTAAGGTCACACGGTCAAGGAGTAGAGAAAATTCAGTCCCTCTCCTTGGATTCTAAACCTTTCCCCCTTCCCCACCGTCTAAATTCCTGAAGCAGGCGGGCACACTCACAGCCACCTAGAAGCCCCTGGGGTGCAGCAAGGAATTGAAGGCAGGGAGAACGCAGTTGAGACCGGAGGTGGGTGGTGTGAGTGCAGAAGTTGGGAGTAAGGGGCGCCTGAGAGGCGCAGTTGGTTAAGCGTCCCACTCTTGATTTGGGTTCAGGTAGTAATCTTAGGGTCCTGATCTCGGAGTGATGAGATCATCCTTGGGTGGAGCACCGTACTCAGCACAAAACTGCTTAAGAGGCTCTCCCTCTGCCCTTTCCCACTTGCATGCATGCGCTTTCTCCCTCTCTCAAATAAATAAATAAATAAATCTTATTCAAAAATTTAAAAAAAAAAGTGGTCAGCAGGAAGCCAGGCAGTAGGGGCTAGTCTGAGGCCACGCGAAACCACCAACAGAGCAAGGGATCGCCCACCCACTTTGCAGAAGACAAAACAAAACAAAACACCAGGCCCAGAGACAAAGGCCAGAAGTGTAGGGTGGGCACATCTATCCGGAGCCCTCAGAGTGGGAGAATGGACGGGATGTACCAGCAGATTCTGGGTCTCCGGCTCTGCCACTGGCTCTCCGGGTTACCCAGACAACAGCAGAGACCCTGGCAGCTCTCAGATGTCTATGGCTGCTGCAGAGGCAGAAAATGAGCCCTCTCAGGCTCTGGTCCCCAATCCCTGCCTCCCTGGGCTTTGTGAGGGGGAAAGGGAACAAAAGGGATTGTCTATAGAAGTTGGTTTAAGGGGCGCCTGGGTGGTTCAGTGGGTTAAAGCCTCTGCCTTCGGCTCAGGTCATGATCCCAGTGTCCTGGGACCGAGGCCCGCATTGGGCTCTCTGCTCAGCGGGGAGCCTGCTTCCTCCTCTCTCTCTGCCTGCCTCTGCCTACTTGTGATCTCTGTCTGTCAAATAAATAAATAAAATCTTTAAAAAAAAGAAAAAAGTTGGTTTAAAAAGTTCTTGTGAAAGCGTCCTTCATCCAAAGTCTCAGGGGTCTCCCCGCCCAGGCCCTACCTGGGGGAGCCTGATAGGTAAACCATAAAGAAGGCCCCAGGAACACTCTTTACTGGGCTTTTTCTCATGTCTCCGGTCCTTGCTCTAATAAGCACTCCTTTGCAGAGGCCTTCCCAACCCCATGCTAAATGGGTCTCCTCCCTGCCCTTGTGTTTCCTATTTTGGTTCCATGAAAGGCTCTGGAATAGGAGTGATCACATTTGTAATAGTTTCTTCAAGTAGAATTTGAATTTATAGTCTGTCTGCTCCACTACAGGGCCCCAGGGCCAGGGACCATAGCTGGGATTTTTACCCAGGGACCCCACATAGCTGGAGTTCAGCAGAATGAAGGGAGTGTGGTCATGCTGGTGCTGCTCTGAGCAGGACAGAGCTGGGCGGTCTCAGTGTAAACCTTGGCTGCACATCATGTCACCTGGGAATCTTTTAGAAATCTTGATGCCAGCCTTATCCCAGAGAATCTGATTCAGCTGGTCTGGGTTGGGGCTCAGGCATCAGTATTTTTTTTTTTTAAGTGTCCCTAGTGATTTGAATCAGACAGGTGGTGCATGAGACCCAGTGGACACCCATCTTTCAGAGTTAAAAGCTGCAGACCTAAGAAAGGGCCAAGGGGGTGGTGGTTCAGAGTGGACAAAGAATTGGGCTCACGAGGACCTGAGGGGCTGTGGCATAGCTGGAGTTGATCTGATCTGAACATGTGATGAGCCTGGGGCTCTTGAACCCAACAATTAGGCTTGCTGGCCGGTGGAGACGCAGCCCATGTTTAGAGAGTAAATGGCACTCATGGGACCATCGGCTGCCTCAGGGAGATGGGCAGAGTCCATGGCCATCCAAGGACCTCTAGCTCGAGGCAGTGGGAGTTCCTCACGGTAGCCCCCACTGGGGGTCCTCTGTTAACCAGGAAATGTGCTCACTTTGTTTCATTAGGTGTAAGCCCAAGGAAGCATGATAGGTGTGTGTTTGTGAGTGTGTGCATGTGTCTGTGTGCCAGGGCCCGTGAGTGTAACTGTGTCTGCACGAATGGGTGGTTGTGTTTGCTACGGGGTGTGTATGTGCATGCATATCTGTGAGGTATCTCTGTGTGTGTGTGTGTGTGTGTGTGTGTGTGTGTGTGTGTGTGTTACAGGATAGGGGGAGGCTGCTTTCTGGAAGAGTCTGGAGCAGTAGTCTCATGGGAATGGACAGTATCATTCCCTCTCCTGCCGTCCTCTGTGTCGTTCCACTTCTGTCCCTCTTGTCAGTGCAGGTGTCCAGAGTCACTTTGCAGTGGTTTTGTGATTAGCTGGATGGGAGCAGGTGGTGGTGAGGAAGGAGGGCAGTTTGAGCAGCGTGGGGATCCCACGAGTGGGGGCCCTTTCTTAAAACTACTGCCTACTCTGTGGCCTTCCCACTGGAAGAGAAACAGCCCTATTGGGGAGACGAGAAAGGGAAATGTGACAAGCCCCCCTTCTCCTCCCCACCACAGCTCTAGGCGGGCAAGGAAGGCAGGGTCTCAGCATCCTCCTTGCCTAGGGGGTGGTTCAGAAGGCTTCTCTTCCCCAAAACTTCTCCCTGTGAACAGATGTCACAGGGTTTCAAATTCTACCATTAGAGGTTCATTCTTTTGGTGAGCTTCTCCTATTGGCTTTTTACAGTTGAATGAAGAAAACCCCCAGTTTTTGGAATACATTGCCATGATTTGTACCATAGCACTATGTTCCATATGTGGTAACCGCCACCACAGTCAGGAAACTGCACCACTGCCCAGAACTGATCTGTCCTTCATTGTCATAGTTTTGTCTTCTCCACAATATCATACAAATGGAATCAACAAACACATAGCCTTTTGAGTCTGGCTTTTTAAAATTTAGCGTAATGCAATGAAGAGTCTTCTGTGTTGTTCCTGGTCTGCACAGTCATTTTACTCATAGTATGATGGAATCAGATTCCGTGGTCTAGGCGTACCACAGTCTGCGCATTGGTTCACCCACTGAACGGAGTGGACACCTCTGGTGTCATTTCTGTTTTTTGGTGATCACGAATGAAGCTGCTATAAACATTCTAATGCAGGTTTTTTGTGTGTGAGTGAATACGAATATTCATTTCTCTCAGGCAAATATCTAGGAGTGAGACTGCAGGGTCATATGGTAAATGTAAACTTCACTTTGTAAGAAACTGCCAAACTGTCTTCCAAATGAGTTGCATCGTTTTACGTTCCCACCAGCAATGGATAAAAAGACTCTGTCACTCTACATGCTCACCACTTAATAATGTCAGGTTGGTTGGTTTGTTTCCAAGCCATTCTGATAGGTATGCAGTGGTATCTTATTATGGTTTTCATCTCCATTTCCCTAAGGACTACTAAAATTAAGAATCTTTTTTGCCTAATGTTGAGAATCTTATTTGCCATGAGTGGTCTATTGGGTAAAGTGTCTGCCCCTTTAAGAAATGGATTAATTTCTTACTGTTCAGTTGTAGGTGTTTTTTATATAGTCTCATTACTAGTTTTTTTCAGGTATGTGAACCGCAAATATTTTCTTCAGTCTGTAGCTTGTCTTAATGTCCACCCCAGAGCAAACATTTTAAATTTTGGTGAATCAAAACTGATCATTTTTTTTTTTTTAATTTTTATGGATCATGCCTTTGATGTCAAGTCTGAGAACTCTTTGCCCCACTCCAGGTCCTAAAATTTCTCTTCTGTATTTTCTTCCAATTTTTTGTATAGTTTTGCATTCTGACATTTAGATCTGTGATCTATTTGGAGTTAATGTTTGCATAAAGTGTGAGTTTTATGTTGGGAATTGCTTTTTGCATATAGATTTCCAACTGTACCAACATTGTTGAGAAGATGGTTGAGTTACCATTGAATTATCACTGCAACTTTGACAAAAATCACTTCATCATTCAGGTA